CCACACTTGGCTTTGTTAACGTTGATGGCCATGTCGTTCATAGTCTTGAAGCAAAGGGCAGCCAACACAAATAAGCGAACTCTTGCAGTAGATGTTGCCGTCGGCGGCCCCAGTAGTTTTGCACAGTACTCGTATCCAACGGCTATCCTGTTGCAGGTCGGGTAACCAAATCCCTGCCTCGGAAAAAATAATGGGGTGTGCCTGGCTGCTTGTATATGTTGTAGGCACGGGCTTCCCAACTATCGCGAGCGCGATTACCAGTCAGTAGGTAGCGTGATCGTGCGCTACTTCAGTGATATGTAGCCTTGTAGTTTGAGCCAGTGGCTGTATGATGGCACTGTCATCACGCAGGTAAACGCAAACACATAAAACACAATGATGCAGTATAATAGGCGAACATGGTAAGTTTTTGTTCGTAACATGTATCCGTACCATCATCCTCCTCCTCCTCCTCCTCCTCCTCCTCCTCCTCCTCCTCCTCCTCCTCCTTGAGGGGCGGCGGCCTGGATGCCCACAGCGGGCGCCACGGCCGACCCAACGGACCGCGCCACCTGCGGCGGGCGAGAGGCCGACGCCGCCCGAGACAGGGCGGCGAGAGCCGCACTTGCCCGCCGCCCTGGCCAGGCCCATCCCGGGCCGGGCCGCGGTGTGCAGGCCTCCCTGGCCGAGCCGAGGGGACGTGTGCGCGACCGATCCCGGGCCCGGGAGGGGCTCGGCCGGGGGCGGTGGGCGTGTGCAGACCTCGTCGCCCGACGAGGGGCCGAGGAGAGCGCTGGGGCGGGCCCTGCCCGAACAGCCAGCGGCCCGGAGGCGCCGTGACGGCCGGAGGAGGAGGAGGAGGAGGAGGAGGAGGAGGAAAAGGTGAAGGAGGACGGAGAAGGACATGGAGGAGGAGGAGGAGGAGGAGGAGGAGGAGGAGGAGGAGGAGGAGGAGGAGGAGGAGCCGCCGCCGCCCGTGGGCCGCCCCAGGGCCCAGCTCGGGCCCCGAGGGCCATCGGGAAACGGCTCGTCGGTTGCGGGCCACGGGGGTTTGTTGTAGCGGGGTGGGAAGAAGTGAAATCGTTCATCCTGTGGCGCATGGCGCGTGGCCTCTCTCACGGGCCGCCAAGGATGCCAAGTGCAACGCAGTCTGCCCGCATCCGGTACGATCCAGCACGAACTGTCGCGTGCATGCTCGAGACCTCATTTGCAAAGGATCCGTTATCCCCAGTCTGAGCTCTGTATCAGGAACTGGCCATTGGGGGGGGGGTGCGGGCGAGAAGTCCAGGTGGCCCGTGGCATGAAGAAGTCAGGCCGCCAGACGTCTGGGCGAGGCGGGCTGGCGCGCGGGCAGAGGCGGCCTTGAGGCTGTCTATGTAGGGGGGATCCGCGGAGGGGAGGGGGGGGCGTCTGCGAGGATCCAGAGAGGTCGTTTCGCAACGAAGTAGGCTGGTCGTGAGCAGTTGCGGAACGTCCTGGGGCCGCCTTGGGCTTGTGCTGGGTCGTCTTGAGGCGGGCGGGTGAGTGGGCCCAAAATGTTGCCGCCCATCTCGGCGGTAGCAGAAACCCTCCAGTAGGGTCTTGACGTCAGCGGCCCCCTCGCTCGCCTGCGCTTATGTGCACTGTAGCTGCGGCAAGACATGAGCGAGGAGATAGAGGATGCGAAGGAAGAGCAAATACTGGGACCAGGCGCCAAAGCGAGAGCGGCATCACCAGGGCCGAGGCGACAGTGACATCCCCATCAGAAAGGTGGCAGAGACTAAGCGCGAACGGTCCCAATGAACAGAAGCTGTTCTTTGGGGGAGAATAACGACGACGACGACGACGACGACGACGACGACGACGACGACGACGACGACGACGACGACGACGACGACAAGGAAGCGGCAATGACAAGCAAGGCAAAAATGCACCATCTGCCTTGCTGCATAGAGGCGGGGCTGCACCTCTTGGGCCTCGGGGGAGACTCCAAAATCAGGAACATATGGAGAAGGATCATGGAGAAGGATCCTGGGTTTCACTGGGGTTAGTTTTGGGTAGATGGCCAATCCTGGCAAAGCAGCTGGTCTCTGCCGATGCCGTCGGGTAATGTGCCGGGGCCTGGCCACTGCGGTGGGCATGGCGCTGGAAACCTAACGTGCAGCGTCCATCTAAAGCGCGCTGTCCCTGTAAGGCGATCCCCCCGCGAGGCCCCCTGCCGTGCATGCCATCCCCCATACGAGGGCTCCTTCGGTGCTCGCCATCCCCAAGTGGGGGGATAGCGTTTCGTAAGCGGGCCAGCGGCGCCACATCGCACGCCCTTTCCCCAACGCCAACCGCCTCCAGCGGCCTCAACAGACTCTTCCTCGGAAGTGCTGAAACCGTCGTCGTCGCGATGGTTAACGTCGTCGTCGTCGTCGTCGTCGTCGTCGTCGTCGTCGTCGTCGTCGTCGTCGTCGTCGTCGTCGCGCGCGGGGCGCGTGCGCGGAAAAGCCTTGCGCGCGGTGCCGCCGAGGCCCTGCAGCTCCGCTTCCCTCGAGGCCTTGGCGCGAGGCCGCCCATCGAGCAAGTCGGGCGGATGCCCCCACTGCACAGATCCCTCCGCGCTCTGCCCCCGCCCTCCTCCAAAAATGGCCCCCCCCCCTTCTGTCCCCCCTCGCGCAAGTCCCTCCGCGATCCGCCTCCCTTTCCCCTCCGCATCGAGACCCCCCCAAAAAATGACACCGCTCCCACATTCCGCGCCTTCCGTTTTCTGCTCCCCCCCGTCGCGCGGGCGCGGATGGAGGCAGAGGAGTCCATGCAACGAGCGGTGTTCGATCCCGCTACTGCCGAGACTTCACGCAATGAACGAAAACTTTACCCCGCTGGCTGCATCGGGAATTACGGCAAACGTGCGAAAACAAAAACCAATGTGATAGCTGAACGCCTTTCTGGGCGAGCGGCACACGCACCCATTCCCCTTCTCATCCCATCGGCTCGATGCTGCGTGGTTCCCCTTCCCACTCTCTTCCCTTCCGCTCCCCCTCTCCCCTCTTCATTCCCTCCTCGCTTCTTTCCCGTATCCTCCCTCAGTCACCTCTCCTGCCGCATGCCGCCCCCGTGCCCGTCCCTCCCCGCCGTCACCGCCCAATTGTGTTCGCACTGTCGCCGAAGCCAGCGTCTTCTGTGCGACCGAAGGGTGATAAGAACCGGTTGGCTTTCTGACTCTAGCGCCGGGGAACACAAAAAAACTGCGCTGGGAACGCAAGAGCGAGACAAGAGCCACCAAAGACTATGCCGACCATACCAACAGGGGACTGAAGCAGACCAGCATAAGACACAACGCACCTACGAAACATCACAGATCCAGTCCGAGAAGTGGCATATCCAACGCGAAGAAGAAGAAAAACTGACCGCGCTACTACGATGAGCCACAGACAGCCAAGAATACCAACATCAAAGTTCACTACAACAAGGAATTCATCAACTGGTACCAGAACTCGACAGCGACATCGACGAAGCAATCCGCATATATGAGGGAGATCGCGACGAGCAGCTACGACTCCAACAACTAGCAGAACAAGCAGAAGGTGGACGACTACAACAGGAGCTGGTGGAGGTCATCGACAACACAGCGGATGAAAGTTCTAGTACACAGCACAGCTCCACCTGAATACCACTCCAACTGTTCGATGACTCACAGCAGCAGCATAAGCACAGACACAAATCACCAGTTCGAGCTGTCTCATCACAAGGCACACCACTCACATCCACTGAAGTGTACTCTTGAAGACCCCCATCGCCACAGACTACGCAACATCAGACACCGAAACGGAGCCCAACAGCAAACGTGCACTCACTACCAGTGGGTGACACACCGCAGTACGCAAGCACCCCACAGCAACGAGAGACAGCCAGGCAGTTCGACGCGCTGCAACAGTTTGGCGAGGTACTACCTCTAGCAGTACAGCGCAAGGTCACCGTCGTGTCGAACCCCAACGATCGACCGCAGGCCTGCCTCTCGCTACGGCATGCACCACAACATGCACCGACAGCGGTAAAGACAATGGAGGCCACACCAGCAGCACAATTACCCGACGCAAGGCCACTAGGGCCAAAGCACTAGCAGTCGACTTAGCCTTAGTGGCAACACGGTTGAGTACAGATGCGCTTGGGGTGCCGTCACACTCAACCAGAGCAACCAATGCTCTTTTCGCCACGAAAATTCCACTTGACTCGACCCACGAGGCAAGCACAGCTTCACCACTTAGTCTACGGAATCCAATTGCTGATTCCACAAGTGGACAGACGAGGTGTACACATCACCAGACCAGGAAGCAGCGACAAGCAGGCGACGCAGAGCCCACACCGCAAGCAGCCCCCAATACTGGACAGTGCGCCACTGGATCTCCCTGAATACACTAAAGGGCGGGGGGGTCCAGAACCCCCCTTCCCCCCTTGAAGGGGGGGGGGCTCCAGAACCCGGCCCCCCCCCCCTCCCCCCCCCCCCTCCTTGAAGAGGGGGGGGGGGGTCCGGACACTCCCCCCCCTCCCCCCCTTGGCGCTGGAATGGGGGGGGGGTCGGACACCCCCCCTTTTGCGCCGGAAAAAGGAGCCAGGGAGGGGGGGCCTCTCTCGCTTCTCCTTTATGCGCCAGAGAAGGCGTGTAGGGAGTACGGAGTTAGGAGTAGGGAGTGGTGAATAGTGAGTTAGTGCGTAGTGTGTAGTGAGTATTGGGTAGTGAATAGTGGGTAGTGAGTGGCGAGTAGGGAGTACGGAGTAGGGAGTGGGGAGTAGTGAGTAATGAATAGTGAGTAGTGTGTACTGATAAATGAGTAATGAGTGGCGAGTAGTGAGTAGTGAGTAGGGAGTAGGGAGTAGGAAGTAGTGAGTACTGAGTAAGGTGTAGGGAGTAATGAGTAGTGGGTAGTGAATAGTGGGTAGTGAGTAGTGGGTGGCGACTAGCGCTTAGTGAGTAGTGAGTAGTGGGTACTGCGTAGTGCGTAGTGACTACTGAGTAGTGAATAGTGAGTAGTGAGTAGTGAGTAGAGAGTAGCGAGTAGTGAGTAGTGAGTAGTGAGTAGTGAGTACTGAGTAGTACGTAGTGCGTAGTGAGTAGTGAGAAGTGACGAATAGAGAGTAGTGGGTAGTGGCAGTGGGTAGTGTGTAGTGAGTAGCGAATAGGGAGTAGCGAGTAGTGTGTAGTGAGGAGCGAGTAGGGCGTAGTGAGTAGTGAGTAGTGAGTAGAGTAGTCACTAGTGAGTAGTGGGTAGTGAGTAGCGAGTAAAGACTGGGGAGTAGCGAGTAGTGAGTAGTGAGTAGGGAGTAGGAAGTAGTGAGCAGTGAGTAGTAAGAAGTGGGTAGCGAATAGTGGGTAGTGAGTAGCGATTAGTGAGTAGTGAGTAGTGAGTAGTGGGTAGTGAGTAGTGACTAGTGACTAGTGCCCTGTGACTAGTGACTAGAGATTATGTAGTGACTAGTGAGTAGGGAGTAGTGAGTAGTGAGCAGAGAGTAGCGGGGAGTGGGTAGTGAGTATTGACTAGCGAGTATGGGAGTAGCGAGTAGTGAGTACTGAATACTGTGTAGTCAGTATTGTCTAGAGAGTAGGGAGTAGCGAGTAGCGAGTAGTGGGTAGTGAGTAGTGATTTGCGGGCAATGAGTAGTGAGTGGTGAGTAGTGGATAGTGGGTAGTGGGTAATGAGTAGTGATTAGTTAGTAGCGAGTAGGGAGTAGGGAGTAGTGCTTTGTGAGTAGTGAGCCTTGGGTAGTGGGTAGTGAGGAGTGAGTAGTGAGTAGTGAGTAGGGAGGAGGGAGTGGTGAGCAGGGAGTAGGGAGTAGAGAGTAGTGGGTGGTGGGTAGTGAGTAGTGGATAGTGAGTAGTGAGTCGTGAGTAGCGAGTAGGGGGTAGTGAGAAGCGAGTAGCGAATAGCGAGTAGTCAGTAGTGGGTAGTGAGTAATGAGTAGTGAGTACTCTTTGGGGCTGGGGTTAGTGGTTGGGGTTAGGGTTAGGGGTTTGGGTTAGGGTGAGGACTAGGGGTAGGGGTGGCGGGGGTCGGGTTCCGGAGTCAGGGGGCGGCGTGGCGAAAGGGAGGGAGGGGGGGGGCTGCGGCCAAAGGGGGGGATGGGAGGGGGGGGGTTCGGATCCCCCCCCCTTTTGAAAGGGGGTGAGGGGGGAAGGGGTTCCCGACGACGGACGAGGAAAGGAGGGGGGGGGGGGTCCCCGACGACGGATCGGGGAAGGGGGGGAGGGGGGGGGGGGTCCCACCCACCCCCCCTTGGGGAGATCCAGGGGCGCACCCTCCCAATACTGCCCGACATCTACGGCAAGACATCCCACAACACTCTACCACAGCCATTCATCGGCGGCGAGCGAAGGGGGGAAATGCGAAGGAGAAGGCCTTCTCAGAAGGCGGCGGGACTTCTCAGAAGCCCTCGCGCCTTCTGTCCTGTGTCTTCGGGGACGGATTAGAAACTTCCCAGAAGGCCGAGGGGCTTCCGAGCCTTCTGAGAAGGCCCGCCCCTTCTCACTTCCCCCCTCATTCGCCGCCGAATCCACCAATCCAACCAACGCATTCAACTCCAACATGACGTATACAACATCAACCTGCACCCAGCTGCGCGAGCAACGCTGCAAGCTTACAGCCAGCCTAGACAGAATGTCGCGTCACCCGTCATCTACCCTGACAGCTCACTTCAACAGACCAAGTCCAACTCAGCATCGGCTCTTGCGCCCATACCCTACGACGGGCAGATGTCGTCTCTCCACGGACATTGCACGGGCAACATCTCACACAGCACTAATAACGGCATCGACTGCGGCAGCCTCGACAGCACCAAAGTGGAGCTGGGCGCCATCGCCTGGGCCATCACCTACGACATGCAGCAGCCTCCTGACCTTCACAAACTAATTCCCGCGGGCCAGGCTAGTGCAGTCCAAATCCTGACACGAGCTGCACACAGCGATGATCCCATCACGAGAGTAGCTCAAACACTACACCACCCATCGCATTGCACCACACCACATCCATGGACATGACGGCCACCCATGGAACAAACTAGCTGACACACTTTCAAAAAAAGATGCCACCGTGCACGGTAGCACAGATAGTGCACTCACAACGGCTGCCGACTGGAGGCTCCCACAGCCAAACCAGAACATAGCAACACGAGTAGCAGATCACCCGCGAATATACTGGACTACTCACCAGAAAGATCACACCACGGACCATTGTGCGTACCCTGTGATACAGACTGACAGCATCCACCACCAAACGCGCAGCAGAGCAAAAAGGCACTTGACACCAATACGGCTCTGATCAATACGCAGCAGTAACGACCACAGCAAGAAATTATTGCAGCCGACGCTAGCACCACGACAGTACACCTTAATATGTCGATTTGGCATGCCCAAAGAGCGAATGTGGATGTCACCAGCGACGGACATCGACTACGCGGTCGACTCAAATTGTACCACATGACTCGAGGGCAGCAGCACTTACGAGCACCAGCACGTTTGCAGAAGGTTCACCCCATAGGGATACCGGAGACCACAGCAAAGAGCGA